AGCCATCTGTTTGGGGCGTTCTCGTAGCCGTTACCGTCGTGGTTTGCTTAAGCTCTCTAGTGTTTTTTCAGTTACCCGTAGCAAAATTGTTTAATGTTCAAAATTAACTTAATTAGTGAGTCGTAACACAGTTAAATTCCCTTGACGCAATGAATTCAAGAGTGATGCTGTCAAGGTCGGCTTTCATTTAAAAATACGTCAGTGGGTTTTCTTGTTGTTTTCTCGAACAAAAGAAACATAAAGGCTGGTCAGTTTGTTATGACTATCGCAAAATCTAAGATACGCGTCATCAAAGGAATTTTTTCCTGTTTGGAACAATTCATTCAAAAGGTCAGGTTTTTAAATTTCCATTTAGAAAACCACAAACCGTCTTGCCATGGCAACTCGTCCGCTTCCATTTTGAGGACACTTCAACTGCTTTTATGCAATCAAAGATCGATTAGAAATTAAAAAAGTTACAACGAAAGGCTAGGTTCTCCGATCATTCGTATCTTACCGATATTGCATGTGGTTAGCCTGCATTATCAGGTCCATTTTGGCTTTTCAGAACAAATCCGAGCTTTTGTCTCTTTCTTATGCAGTGTACCAGACCTCTTACGTTCGTCTCAGACCAGTGACCTCACTGAAACGGTTTCGCGATCAAGGCCTGGAGAAAAGTTCATTTAGGAATAGACAACTTTGTCTCGAGAAGAGGAAAAGCTAGGCCATTACGGTGACTGAAATTAACCCAGCAATGGCTGGATTTAATCAAAACAGAAAAAATCAAATGCTAGAGATATCTGAATTTGGCTATACTCTGGAGAGACTTTCGCGAAACTCTGGAATTTCTCATTTGAACGTGCACAATTACATTCCCTTCCATTTGAGGCGCTCATGTTAGTCTTTCTATTGAGGGATGCAGAGACACAAAAATTTTGAGACAAAAAAGAACACAGCAGCTATAGCAGTGTTTTAATTCTTTTTTTTCTTTTTAGGCGGTTTAATAATAATAATAATAATAATAAATTTATTTAAAAAGGGAAAGGCAGTTTAATTCGGGGACAGGACAACTAGTGGCCTTCTAGACAAGTTAAAAATAGTTATATATTGCATTTTGGTTGTGCGGGGTGGAAAAGTATTCGTATGTAAGCCAATGAATGTCATCGCTGAGGGATATCGTGATTTTTCTTCAATTTCCAAGAACAAATTCTTAGGTTTGATTCGTCTAACCAAGGCCAAGTTCTATTGTGCTCATTCACACTAACTTTTGCCTCGCTCCTTTTTTCGGTCTGTTTGCGATTTTTTTTTTTTTTT